CCGGGGCTCAGGGTGTGGGCGGGGGAACGCGCCGGGGGCTGCCGGGCCCACCCCGGGGCTGGGGGCGGACGTAGCAGGACCCCCGGCACGGGCCTTGAAATGATAATAGCTTTAATAATAATAATTAAGGAATCACCCCGACTTTCACACAGTCAGGTGCAGAGGTCTCCGTGTCGCGTACAGAAGCTCCAGGCAGTTCAGGGCACAGAAATCCGTCCAGTGTTATTTCAAACGGGTTACTTGTTTTCGTCAACACTCCTTGAAACAGGAGTTTCCTGAATCGTTAAGCGAAATGAGGAAGGTGTATAAGAAAGAAACCAAACGTTTTGTTGTGTGTAGACGCATAAACGTGAACACCCCCTCCTTTAGCATTACAAAAAAAATACTCCAGTTGAGTTAATCGTGTGCCATCCTGCTCCTTTCGGAGCACTGGCTCTCCCCGAGGGAGGCTGGGTGAGTGCTATGCCCATAAACAAATTTTCTCATGATATGACTCAGATGGCTCCTCCGTCGCTGTTGTTCACAGCGTGTCCATCCCAGATTCTTACAAAGTCTCCCAGTGCCGTGTCTGGAATGGCTCTGATTCTTGGCTGGCACCGTGCTCTTGGTCCCTCTCTCGCAGCTTGGTTAGCAGCTGTTGGGAGCGATTCCTGGAGCTATTTTGGGAAGGTGGCAAGCAGCGGGTGGGGTGCTGGTGTCCTCGCTCCAAAGGCTCCTTGTGTCCCCAGAAACAAGGGGACAGCAGTGCCTTTCACCCATCGACATCCACGGGAGAGCTTTCAGCCAGTGTGACACAGCTTGCAGAATTGAGACTTTAGTCTGTCACTGGATGGCTTTTCCCTTTTTTTTTTTAATATAAAAAAGCTGTGTTGTAGAACCACAAACTAGATTTAGCCTTTCTAAAATAGGTAGAAAACGTGTAGTTGTGTGAGACTGCTTGGGGTTTTCTGCAGGTTCTATTAAAAGATTGGATATGGAGCTTGGAACATAAACCAAGTTTGGGTTTTTTCCTGTCTCTTTTGGAGCCTTAAGTTTTTGGCTAAATATCAGGTTTAATTATAGAAATTCAATTGTAGCTTTTGTTAGAGTTGAAGCACTGTTGTTCTGTATTAACCAAGGCTTAAGAAGCCTTTGCCCATCAGAAAAATGAAGTCATAAAGAAGCAGCTTTAGCCAAAGAAGCAGCAGTGTAACAGAAAACCTTCTTTATCTTCTCACATGAGACAGGATCAGCTTTTCTGTCTGACAGTTGTCACTGCATCCTCCTGAGAAGCTTTCACTGCCCCATTTATCTGTGGCTGGAAAAGCTCCTGTATATTTACATTGTGTTTTTAACTGCAAGGATTAAATCTATTTTTTTTTTTTTTTTTGGTCTTTTTTTTCCCCCTCTCCTGCCTGGATCACAGTTCCATCTCTGGGGGGTCACTACTGTTGTATTAACCTGGGGCCTCCCTACACACTCCATTTCCCCAGGCTTTGTTTCTCCTGCTGCTCAGAACTTTTCCATTAATGAATTGCAGTTGTGCAAGTCATTTAAAATGGCAAATTTATTTAAATGAATTAAAGGAATAACACACCTCTATGAGTAACACTGTGTTGACAACCTAAATATCCTCCATGGCTGCAGGAACACTGTGTAGGACAAAAGCTTGGGTTTTGAGGATAATGGGATTATGTTTAAACTGTGCCTGAAATACTTTGTTTGCATTCCCTAATTAATATTTGGAATGACTGATGTAAGTGTGAGGAAGAGGTCAGTTTTCTTTGTTTGCTCTTTGTGAGTGTCTCTGAATTTCTTGTGATGTGAGCCCTGGGAGAGGGGGAGATGTTTGAAATGGTGACCAAGCACCACCAGGGCAAAGCCATGCAGGGACAGGTGCAGTTCACTGGCTGCCTTTCAGCTGGTGTTTACAGCCATCATTATTTATTTGTTTATTTTATGCCTTCTAGTAGTACCTGGGTTAATTTTAGATCAGCCAGTGCTGGAGGAGTGTCATGACAAGGGCTTTGCTGAGTGGCAAAATTCAGAACATGGAAGTTTTTGGGGGCACTTGGGCCTCCCATTTGTCTTTTTAAAGTGTTACAGATGGGAGAAAAGGATCATTAATTTCCTGGTTAAATATAAAGAAACCAAGCATTACTCCTTGTATCCAACAGTAGCTTATTTTTAGAATTTTCTTGTGAATTTTCCTTATATGAAGACAAACAATTTCATGTTCCAATTATTTCAGATTTCCTGGGACTATTTTGTGTGCTAATTTTTAGAAGAGCTACAGTAAAATTGGAAGTTTTTCATCTGTCTGGCAAAAATCACACCCCGTATCTGTGAGGGGGAGCTCCTCAGCTGTTAAGATTAATTACTTAAGGAGAGCTGCAATTAAGGATGAGTAGTCCAGAAGTCCTCCAGTAAAACAGTCACTGTCATCCTTCTTTTCATGAGTAATGTGTTGTATATTCAAAAGCCAAGCTGGCATCTTGATGTTGGTCTCAGCTCAAAGGTTCTTCTTCCTCCCAGGAGTGTCCTCCAGCCTGTCATGTGCATGAATTCTCACAGTGTGTTTCCCAGACTACTGAATTGTTTTGCTTTGTGTGTCTGCAGATGGCAAAAGCCAAAGACAATGTAATTGTGACGTCTGAGCCTGGCTAATTTCTCCAAGCTATGGGTTATGATTAGGAATAGCGACTTTTTTTCAGCAAGGGAGTTACAGTGGATATAGTGCCCTCAACTCCTTCAGCAATTATCAGCTCCTGTAGATTAGGAAGCCACTCTCTCTGGTTACTTCTCTCTAATCATGAACATGTGGAAATAAGCCAGGCAACCACAGAAAATCTCACCTTAATGTGATAAGACTTGAGGAAAGACAAACATTTCATGGGTAATTCAAGACGTTCTCTCATCTCAGTTTACATTTTATGGGAGTTCCTATAATAATTCATCCCAAGTTTTGTTTCTTTGCCAAATTGAAAGGCTAAAGATACATAAAGAGAAACGAGTTGCAGGATGCAGTGCAATTGAAATCAGAGCTATATAAAGAAATGGAAATGTTTGCTTAGGAGAAACCTGCTGGAGAAGTTGGTAGGAGCTGTTCGACATCCAGCTCACCACGCGCTCCGGCAGCGAATTTCTACAGGCTTCCACAAATATTTCTGTCTTCTCTCCACAGAACTTAATTTATTCCTGTATTCTTTGACACATCATTCAACTTTTTGCTGATGTGATGAATGGCAATTGGGTAATTCTCTTCAGAGCCTGTGCCCATTAATCCAGCTTTGAGCCCAGGAATTGCCAAATTACCCCAGCGCTCTGCCTGTGTGGCTGCTGAGCTCTGTTTCTGGGCCAGGGGATTTTTGGTGGCAGCCAAAAGTCGGGGTGCAGTAGGTGTGCACTGCTCTGTGGTAAACAGGAGGCTCATGCAGGGCCTTTTGTCATTTCCAGGGTGACTCCTGGGGTGAGGACACACAGGAAGAGGGGACACGCTGGGCTGAGCAGCTGGGCTCCAGTTGCACCACATTCCTCCAGCTCACGTGTGGCCTCTGGCTTTTGTGCCAAGCACCTGCATTTGGTTTTGGTTTGTTTTGGAAGGAAAACAGATTCTTTTGCTTGACTACAGAAGCAGCAGCCAGTGGTTTTGTTGTTTTAATGCTAATGTCATCTGGGAGGGTGGTTACACATGCTCTGAATCCAAAGGTAGTCACCAAGCTTTCAGATTTCAGCACTTGAATAAAAAAAGTGAAGCATTTTGAAGTTTTACCTGAAATCAAACCCACAGAGTAACAGAGAGGGAAAT